ACTGATAGGACTCAATACCAAAAAAACAATTTAATTAAAAATGTTCAGAAGACATAAACAGACATTTCTCAAAAAAAAAAAAAGATACCCAGATGGCTAATAGGCACATGAAAAGATGCTCATTACTCATCATCAGGGAAATACAAGTCAAAACCACAATGAGATATCACCACTTCACACCTATCAGAATGGTTAAAGTCAAAAACACAAGAAACAACTGTTGGTGAAGATGTGGAGAAAGAGGAATCCTCATGCACTGCAGAGTGGTGCTGCCACTGCGAAAACAGTATGGAGGTTCTTCAGAAAGTTAAAATTAGAATTACTCTATGATTCAGTAATCACACATTGGGTGTTTACCCAAAAAATACAAAATCAGTAATTCAAAAGGATACATGTACATGTACCCTTATGTTTATAGTGGCATTATTAACTATGAAAGTAGCCCAAGTATATCCATCAATAGATGAATGGATAGAGAAGAATGGATGAAGTGTGTGTGTGTGTGTTTGTGTGTGTGTTTGTGTGTACACATACACCATTCTTTATATTCTAATATTCCATTATATATTATTATACAATTATATGTTTACATATAATGGAATGTTATTCAGCCATTAAAAGGAATGAAGCCCTGCCATTTGCAACAACATGGCTAGAGCTAGAAAGTATAATGCTAAGTGAAGTGAGTCAGTCAGAGAAAGACATATCATATGATCTCACTCACATGTGGGATTTAACAAATCAGCAAAGGGGAAAAAAGACAAATCAAGAAATAGACTGTTAGCTATAGAGAACAAACTGATGGTACAAGAGGGGAGGTGGGTGGCGGGATGGAGGATATAGGGGATGGGGATTAAAGAATACATTTATGAAAAAATAAAATGATTAAAAAATGAAAAGATGCTGAAAAAATAGTATAGTAAATACACATTTCGACTGTGAGAGATGTTCATTTTTAGAAACGTTGATGAAGGAAATGTGTATCTCTGAATTAAAGAAATTGAGCAGTTCATGAAAAAAATTGTACTTTGCTGAGAACAGTTCAGAATAAGTCTAAATAACTTAGAAACAACTACATGCATAAATGTGGAAGATGAGAGGTAGAGAAATTGAGCAAAGTTAAACTGGATTCTGAAATTCTTTTTCTTGGCCAAATGATACTCAATTATTTGTTGTGTTTACTTCTACAGAGATCACCCAGTTACTGTAGTTATGGTTTACATTCTTGATCAGTCTAAAAATATAAAATGTACAGAATAAGTGGTCAGATAGGATATTTATTTTCTTTTAAATTGAAGGTTACCTACTTTTGTCCATACGCTCACCAATAATTTACTCTGACATTTTTTAAACCTCTGAGACAGTTGGTGAAGTTTCCTGAAATGTTCACCTTGATTGTAAGCAAAATAAGCTATCTTTTGTTGTTATAACCAACATTCAGGGGCTTCACATATGAATTGAATCTTAAAGCTTCAGTTTTAATGTGAGTTGTCTAGGAATGGATGGAAGTTAACTAATTTAGATATCTCCTGCCTGACATGTTAAAAATTGACCAGACCTAAGTTTTAGTTCAGAGTATGCAAGCTATTACTTCAAGTAGTGAATGACGGGAGTTTAAATGAAGATAGAGAAAAAAATTCACTGGGGGAAAAATCATAAGTGAAAGTATAGTTAGGTGTTTTCTGATTTTTTTAGTGAGTATAAAAAAGCAGACAGTATTTTGACATTTAAAATAGTATAAGATACATGCTGTTTAATGTTAAAGAAAGTCTTAACCATTGTTCCCAAAATGAGAATTGCTCAAAAACAAAAAGCAAATAGTCTTAATCTTTAATAGGAAAAGCATGAGCCTGAGTTCTCTAGGATCAGGTATATACTTTATTATACCCACCCATAATTTTCTGCTCCAGGCATCCATGGATTTATAGTCCACCTTCAGCTTTTACCATGGTGTCCAGTGCTTCCTCCACCTAAAATCCCAATTAGACAAGACAGACCAGTCCTTCTGGCAGACCCTAGAGAGGTTAGAATGTTTTAAGAAAAGTCAGCTCTATTCCGTCTGGTTTGAGGGAAGAATGTGGAACTGGGCTGCTAAATCCCTTGAGTCCCAGACATACCCATATAGAGAATAGAGCAAGAGAAAATGAAAATGACCTGAACTTTGTTGTTCACGGTATTTTCTTGACTAGGCATTTGTTTGGTTGCTGTAAAGCTTTGACTTTTTCCAGAGGTCCAGTATAAAGTTAATGCAGCCAGTCTCTAGTTGTTTTTGATGTTTCTGTGAGGGCTTGGAACTTCTTAAGTCTGTCATTTGCTGATGTCACTCAAGAATGCTTTTAAAATTATAAAAAATTAAGTCAGTGAAGGAAATTTAGAGCACACAGAAATGTGGAAAGCTAAGAAAAAAAAAATCTTATCTCCAATTCTACTCTGTAGTAACCACTATTAACATTTTGATGTGTTGCCTTTCAGGCTTTTTTCCCCCTTTGTCATGTCATGCCTTTCATTTTACCCTGCTTTCTCTTGTTCTTCTACCCTGTACCACCAAAAAAAAATTGTTTTTAAAGTTAATTAAAATAAGGTCTCTAAACATACTTTTAGTCAGTGCAGTATTAATTTTTGAATTTAGTATACTTTTACACTGGACAGCCCAAAATATTTTTACAGGTATGCAAATTTTTCATTTATGCTTCTAAATGAAAATATTATAGATATTTTTCTTCTCTTTTTTTGTTTTAAATAAAACACAAGTCAAATTTATTAGAGTTGTCCAAGTCAGCAATGGTGATCTTCTCACTCATCTTGCCATTCCTGGACCCAAAGCGCTCTATGGCTTCCACAGTATTCATACCCTTTTTCACCTTGTCAAAGACTACGTGCTAACCATTCAGCCACTTGGTGTTGGCAGTGTGGATGAAAAACTGGGAAGTGTTTGTGTTGGTTCCAGCATTTGCCGTGGACAAGACACTAGATCCTGTGCTTTAGGATGAAATTCTCATCATCAGATTTCTCCCTATAGATGGACTTCCTGCCAGTGCCATATGGCATGTGAAGTCACCACCCTGGCACATAAACCCTGAAATAATCTGCGAAAGCAGGAACCTTTAGAACCAAGTCCTTTCTCTCCAGTGCTCAGGCCATGAAAGTTCTTGTTGTGTTTGTGTATGTGTATGTGTGTGTAATTCTTCCTCTTCTTATTTTTATTATATTAGTCACCAGACAGTACATTATTAGTTCTTAATGCTGTGTTCCAAGATTCATTGTCTAATGTCTTTGGAACTTCGTTTGCAAACAGCCTGGAGGAGATGCAGCCCATAGCAATGTTGAAAAACATGGTGGGGTTGACTGTGGCTAGATTGTGGGTGGCAATAGGACAGTGGCGTCTGTAAGGCCTAGATATTTCTGATTATCCCCCACAGGCTTGGGTTTTATTCTAGTCTTTACTCCTTTATTCAGTATATAAGAGTTGAGAAAGAAGTAGGTATCAAAAATCTGTATTTTCCTTGGTCTTAGAAATTTCTGGAATTTTTACGTTCAGAAAAAAATGACATCCCCTCATTCAAAGGGGTAAGCCCTGACAACCTAGTATAGATCTTAACTTTCTTGGGAGCCAGTATAAAAAGAAAGAACTTAACCTGGACAGAAATAGTAATGCTAATATTGTGATATCAGTTATTTAGGCTATAGGTGTCTTTTTTTTTTTTTAAGATTATTTATTTATTTGACAGATAGAGATCACAGGTAGGCAGAGAGGCAGGCAGAGAGAGAGAGGAGGAAGCAGGCTCCCTGCCGTGCAGAGAGCCCGATGCGGGGCTCGATCCCAGGACCCTGGGATCATGACCTGAGCCAAAGGCAGAAGCTTTAACCCACTGAGCCACCCAGGCACCCCTATAGGTGTCTTTTAAACCAGCCGAACTATTAACAATAACTAGATTCTTTAATTGTGCTATGTTAATTGATAATTGCAGTTTGATTTTTAATTTATTTAGCCTTGTATTATGTATATCTCGAAGCTATTTATATTTTGGTAAAAATTATATTTATATATAATTTATATATTATATGTTGTATTAAACTTGACATATAAAGTTAAAGAAGAGTATGTGAATCTGAGCAGAAATTGTGTTTTGCCTTCTTCCATTCCTACATCTTACCTCAGTCAGGAGCACTCTAAAAAGTAATTACCTATGATTTTTTTGGGATTTGGTTTATGGAAAGATACCCTTTATAATTAAGGTGATGGATACATGGGTGAATAAATTGGAAGTACTTTTTTTGTGATTCAGTTTTATACTGAGATGCATTTTGATTAATTTTTCTTTTATCAGCAGATTTCTGCTTTTTATAGTATGATTTCTTTTTTGGGGGGTCATTCATTAATTACTGCCTATAATAAATGTCTATACCTAATTTTTTTTTATGTTTTATTTCACTGAAGTAGCAATTATATAATCCAAACTTGGGTGCTTCTTTCATAACAAACTTTGGTCTCTAGGAATACATTACTATTAAAAATGGAGACTATTATATTAGATGCATTACTTTTTTTTTTTTAAGATTTTATTTATTTATTTGACAGACAGAGATCACAAGTAGGCAGAGAGGCAGGCAGAGAGAGAGGGGGAAGCAGGCTCCCTGCTGAGCAGAGAACCCGACGTGGGACTCGATCCCAGGACTCTGGGATCATGACCTGAGCTGAAGGCAGAAGCTTTAACCCACTGAGCCACCCAGGCGCCCCTAGATGCATTACTTTTAAAGGGCACAAATTGTAGGATTACAAAGCTAAAAAGATTCCTTGAAAGCATGACTCTAATTTTATAAGAAAATGAGGACAAAGAACTTATTCTAACAGGGAGTCTTTATAGTAGGTTTTCTAATGTCACTTCTTTGTTCCATCAAGAATTACTTATATAAAGCAAGTTTTGTTACAGTAATGGTTGAATATTTAAGGTTGATAAAGTGGCCAACTTTAACAAATTTTCCTCCCCCTTTTCTTTTAGGTGAATCTGGACTCGGGAAGTCAACATTAATCAACTCATTATTCCTCACAGATTTGTATTCTCCAGAGTATCCAGGTCCATCCCATAGAATAAAAAAGACAGTACAGGTATGTACATTTGTATTGTTCATTGATGATAATCTGGGGTAATGTTAACACACACAAAATACATGCTATAACTTTTATTATGCTTCCCTAGAGGTAGGTTTTATATTTGGCCTCATCCAATGTAAAATGGTAAACCTGATTGATGATTAGAAAGAGAAGGTGAATTTAGAGGAATTATGCTTGGCTAGAACCTTCTACTAAATTTGTCCCTAGGACCCTCCTATAGATTATACTGTGAAGTACTAAATAATACCCCTAGAGTTAGGCTGTCCAACTTGGTAGCTACTTGCCATATTTAGCTATTAAATTTGAGTAAGTTGAAAGCAAATAAAATTTAAAGTTTGGTTTCTCAGTTACACCAGTCATATTTCAAGTGCTCCTTAGACATACTACCCATACAAGGGTAGTATGGCTGTATTTGGGTAGTATAGATGTATTTCCACTATTGGAGAATGTGCTAATGGGTAGTGTAGAAAAAGCTTGATTTGCAGAAAAGCCATTATTACTTAAATACAGTGTTTTGTATTACTCAGTGGCATAGTCCTATGTGATAGATGAATGGCAATTGAAATTTTAAGGCTCCCAAGCTATGTGTAGTCTAATTAAGTAGTTCTCAGCCTTTAATGTGTGTTTAGATCAACTTGTTAAATTTAGTTCCTGTTTTAGGTTAATTTAGTCTGAGATGGGTTGAAATTCTGCATTTCTAAAAATTTTAGGTGATATTGATGCTGCTGACCGTTAGATCACACTTCATATGACAGAGAGAGAGGAAGGGAAGCAGGCTCCCTGCCGAGCAGAGAGCCTGACGCGGGACTCGATCCCAGGACCCCGAGATCATGACCCGAGCTGAAGGCAGTGGCTTAACCCACTGACCCACCCAGGCGCCCTGTATATATATATTTTAAAAGATTTTATTTATTTATTTGGCAGAGATCACAAGTAGGCAGAGGAGCAGGCAGAGAGAGAGGGGGAAGGAGGCTCCCTGCTGAGCAGAGAGCCTGATGCGGGGCTCAATCCCAGGACCCTGAGATCATGACCTGAGCCAAAGGCAGAGGCTTTAACCCACTGAGCCACCCAGGCGCCCCTAGTGTTGTATATTTTAACCCTAAACAAGAAGAGGAAATTCTAATTTTTTAATTTAGGTATTTAAATTCAAGATAAGTAAACTATGTATGTAGAAATATTAAAGAAACGGCACAGTACAGATCCTAAGTTCAAGAATATTTAGTCTAAGGGCACCTGGGTGACCCAGTTGGTTAAGCATCTACCTTCAGCTCAGGTCATGATCCCGGAGTCCCAGGATAAAGCCCTGCATTGGACTCCCTGCTCAGTGGGAAGTCTGCTTCTCCCTTGGCCCTTCATCCCACTCATGCTCTGTCTTTCAAATAAATAAATAAAATCTTTAAAAAAAAAAAAAAAGAATATTTATTCTAAAATACATTAGATCTTAGTGGTCATGTACTTGCCAGTAGTGTTCTTGGTAATTACTGCTGAGTCCTCTTTGTAGCTCTGGCATATGGTGTTAATGCCAGGCTTGCATTAGTAAGTCATTAGTATCTTCCAGGTACTATTCTAAGCAGTTCATGTGCATTAACTTATTTAATTCTTAACAACAACTTTATGAGGTAAGTGGTATTATTACCGCCATTTTACATAGGTGGAAACTGAGGTAGGGACATGGTCATATCCCTGAGATCACATAGTTAAGAGTGACAGAACTGGGGCACCTGGGTGGCTCAGTTGGTTAAGCAACTGTCTTCAGCTCAGGTCATGATCCCGGGGTCCTGGAATCGACTCCCATATGGGGCTCCCTGCTCAGTGGGGAGTCTGCTTCTCCCTCTAACCCTCTCACGTCTTGTGCTCTCTCTCTCTCTCTCTCAAATGAATGAATAAATAAATAAATAAATAAATAATCTTTAAAAAAAAAAAGTGACAGAACTGGATACAAATCTAAGCAGTCTGGTTTGGTGTGTATTCTGTCAAATTATGCTGTCTCTATACTGTTAATATTTAATACATGCTAGTTTCATAGGTTAACCAGTTCTTAATAGGTGGATTAGCTTTCCTTTACTACAATCTCCCTATTTAATAATGTTTCATCCAACAGCTTTTTGGTTTTCTTTCTTTTTTTAAACCTTTTCCTTTAAAAATCTTATATAGAGAGAGTTTCCCAACTAGGCAGTTTAGACAAAATGAAGACAAAATGATTTGATCAGTGAAGTCATGTGAAAATTGTTAAAATAACATAAAAAATGCCTCTATGGGGGCGCCTGAATGGCTCAGTCGTTAAGCGTCTGCCTCTGGTCAAGTCATGATCCCAGGGTCCTGGGATCGAGCTCTACATCGGCTTTGGGCTCCCTGCTTGGCAGGAAGCCTGCTTCTCCCTCTTCCACTCCGGCTACTTGTGTTCCCTCTTGCTGTGTCTCTCTCACTCTCTCTCTCTATCAAATGAATGAATAAATAAAATCTTTTTTTTTTTTTAAATGCCTCTGTAAGCAGTAAGGGGCCGATCATCTGACTCTAGCTAGTAAGGGATAGTTTCAGGAAGGGATTTTTTGTTTGTTTGTTTGTTTGTTTTGCTTTTTAAATCTCAAATAGTACATACATGATGTTTGCTGTTGCTTGTTAGATTTAAATTTGCAGTCTGGACTCAAGGGTAAGGACTTCCCTTTAAATACTAAGCTTGAAATTCCAATTAACTACTGCTGGGTGGATGATGGAAGCCAGTTAACTCATGAAGATTTTGTACCTTACCATGTTTTATTTTACTTTGCTTAATGAAGACAAAAGAACAATACTCAAGCTTTCTTGGTTCATCCATGCAGTGGTTTTTTTTTTTTTTTAAACCAGTGTCTGAACACATGAAAGTACCAGTGCTTGCAATTTCAGGAATTTGACATAAAGAAATCGAGTCTTTTATACTCTGTAGCAAAATATTTGCTCAAATAATGAGAGATTGCTTGTAATGTAGTTACAACTGTGTGTATCCTGTCATGGTCTACATATTGTAAAAAGGATATTAAATAGAATTCATTATCATATTGTCATCAACGATTCTCCATATTGTGAGACTGAATATTTTCCTGTCTTCTCAATTTTATACAGTGTGCATGCTTTTATAATTTTGCCTTTCAGAAAAGAAATATGAATACCAAAAGATAAGTATTTACAAGGAATAAGATTCATATTAAGAATTGGTTCTAGGTCAATTCAACAAAAATATGTCCCCTAAAAGTCATTATGCCAAAAATAAATTTGCCAAACAAATTTATTAAAAATACTGATAGAGTATATGGTACTGTCTACCCTAAACCAGTTGCTCAGACCAAAAAACTTGGAGCCATCCTTAACTCCTTTTTTCTCTTTCAATCCACATGTAGCCATCAACAAATCCTGTTATCTCTACTTTCACAGTATATCCAGAATTCTTTCTTATACCTCTCATATGTAGGGTTCCATCATCTCTCTGCCTAGATTATTAGAATAACCTCCTAATTCACCTCTCTGACATGATCCTTGGCCACCATCTCAATCTTTTTTTAACAAAGCAGTGAGAGTCTTCTTTCATAGTCTCAGATTAAGACCAGAGTCAGCTTTTTAAAAAGTTTTATTGATCTATTTCTATTTTTTTTTGAGCAAAATTTTCTTAATATAATTTTTAAATGAATATTAGCTTTATACTAAAAGGGCACAGATTTTAGCATAAAGCTTGATGAACTTTTGTATACATGTTCATATATTTAGGTAATTACCACCCAGATTAAGATAATGTACATTTCTAGCACCCTGGCAAGTTTCCTTTTGCCTCCCCTCAGTCAGTATTACACCCAACTCCAGATATAAATAGCTTTCTGACTTCTGTCTCAATAGATTAATTTTGTCTTTCTTGAACTTCATTTAGATATATACTCTTTTGTGTCTGATTTCTTTCACTGAAGATTATATCTGTGGTATTTGTACTGTATAGTTATAGTCCTTTTTCATTGTTGTATAATATTCCAGTATATGATTATATCATAAATTATATTCTGTTGTAGATAAGCATTTAGGCTTTCAATTTTTAACAATATGAATATTTTTATACATTCTTTTGGTGGATCTGAACACTTGTTTCTGTTGTACGTCTGTGACACATTAAGTAAAAGGTATTTTATTGTTTCAGTTAATTTTCTTTGATTCTTAGGTTGAACATGTCTTTTATACTCATTAACTATTCAGATTTCATTGAAGTGTTTTGATCATTTTAATGTTTTCTGTCTTTTTCTCTTTGATTTGGAAAAGTTCTTTGTCTAGATAATTGTCCCTTACATTTCAGACACTGAAGATACTTTCTCTTAGGCTAGCATCTGTTAAGGAATATGGAAGAGGCTCTCAGGATTGTTTTTACATTTACTTGTCTCCCAAATAATCCTGTCTAACTCACTTAACCTTCTTTTAAGGTAACATTTCAATAGTGTTCTTTTCTATTGTGAATATCTTCCCAAGTCTCCCTTTTTTGAAAACAAAGGAGTAATTAGGGCTTGACAGTATCTGTACTAAGATTTTTATGACAAAGGCCTGTGTATCACTCTTAAATCTCCTCTTTTTACCAAAAGTTAAGACCTATAACATCTGAGAACTGGGTTGATAATGACTAGAATCCCAGAGAAGTACTCTGGATGGTATTCCTTCATATACTGGAAACAAGTTGAAGATCCTTTGTACTCTCTTCCTCACTTATCCAGGAGAGAACATAACATGTTCTGAGTCATTCCATTTATTTAGAGAATAGAGGGTAGTTTTCTTTCACAGTTGACTGGCTCTTCACCAAGCTCAGTAATCTAGCAGATAATCTCCTCTTGGAAGCTCATAAGTTCTTTGTGGAGGGTGGTCAGAAGTATTACATCTCAGCCCAGACATAGCAGACCAGGAGAAACATAAAATCCTGAGTTTCAAAAGGCATATGTCTGCAGTTTCTCACCTGAAGGCTTTCTGGAACACTTCCAACTGTCAAAAAAAAA